AGGGGCAACCCACTACCCAATCAGGGAGCCGACAACCACCACCAATCCCACCGCCAGCCACCAGGGATCCCACCACCCATCCAGAAACCCTAACCACCAGGGACCCCTAACCACTATCCCTCCAGGGATCGCTACAAACCCACCAGGATAGCACGGCCACCATCCCACCATGGAGGATCCCCAGCCCCTCCACCCACTCACCGTGGGACTAGACAGCCACATCCCAACTGTCTCGGACACTGCTTTCGACCAGCTACCCTGACCAACACCGTTGTCAGCCGACCCCCACGCCTGAATCCTTCCTGCACCCACGCTCACCAGGAACATAGGCCCGCCACCGCATCTATTGCTCATCCATGACCTCTCTCTCCTCCATCCCAAAAACCGCCTTCCTCAAGTACAACCCCCCCAATTGCATGGCCATTAAGGCAGCAGCTCGATGGTCGCCCCCCCACCTGCCAGCTTCCTAGCCCCACATACGGTACCCAGGGACCAGGTCCTCCTAGACTATCCACTATCTCTCCCAACAGCCAAGTCAGACCACCTGGATGGCTCACATTGAACAGTAGGTATAGGAGCAAGAAGCAGACAAATGTCTGCCCTAGGAGGGGTGAAGTGCTGGCAGTGGGGAGGGGAGCGGGCAGAGATGATGTGGGCGAACAAATAGCTGCAGAGCGGGGTCAGGAGTGGGACATATCGAAGTGCGGTAGGCAACAGTTTAGAGTAGAGGAGAGGAGGACAGGGGGAGAGTAAGCGCGGGCGTACATGACGGGGTGAGCGGGGTGCAGGAAGGGTCAGGGTGGGTGAGGGGGTGCTGGTCAGGGATGGCGAAGCAGTGTCCGAAACGGCAGTGGGAGGTGGCAGGTAGTGCCCAGGTGGGGTGGAGGGCATTGGGGATACCTGGTGGGATGGTGGCCGTGCTATCCCTAGGTGGGTGATGAGTAGCGATCCACTCAGAGGGATAGTGGTAGGAAGGGTCCCTGGTGGATTAGGGTTTCTGGTGGGTGGTGGGAACCCCTGGTGGCTGGGCGGTGGGATGTGGTTGGGCTCCCTGATGGGTAGTGGGTCCTCCCCTGGTGGAGAACCTGATGGTCCATGGAGCGTCTTGGGTGGATGAGTTGGATCCCTCCTATATGTTAGGAGGACCGTTGGTGCTGGTGGTGGTAGCGTCCCCGGAGGAGCGGAGGCGTCCCGCTGCGATTCCAGCCACGGCCGGCAGGAAACACCGCGGCTTCGGGTGCCGTGGTAGGCCTCAAGCCGCTTCGGACCGCCGGAGCTCCGCTGGAGGGACGGAGTGTCTGTGTCCCCCCCCTTCAGGTGTGGTGTGGGGACATCGGCAGCAGGCTCAGGGGCCCGGATGGCAGCGGATCGGGCGCGGGGGCGCCGAGCTGACGAGCACGTGGCTGCTCCGTGGCGAGCTGGTACCCGGTGGTCGGGATGGACCCAGGGCCAGTGAGGGGGGACCCTGGGGAGGCTGGCTGATCGGCGGGGACCGGGAACAGAGCAGCGGTGGCCTGGGCTGATGTATATACCGCCTCCTCATGCTGCTGCCAAGTCCAGAGTCTGTCATGGGTCCCCTGTACGGCCTCCCATCATGCTGCTGTCTCCATCGCCACACTCTGCCAAGTGCCACTTTCAGGTCTCCTCACACTGCTGGTGTGTTGAATTTTTTGACATAGGGTGCTGGCAGATTACGGGCCTCCTATAGCTGCTGCCAGGCCCCTAATCTGCCATGGCCCCTATTTACCGCCTCCTCATGCTGCTGCCAAGTCCAGAGTCTGTCATGGGTCCCTGTACGGCCTCCCATTGCTGCTGTCTCCATCGCCACACTCTGCCATGTGCCACTTTCAGGTCTCCTCACACTGCTGGTGTGTTGAATTTTTTTTGACATAGGGTGCTGGCAGATTACGGGCCTCCTATAGCTGCTGCCAGGCCCCTAATCTGCCATAGGCCCCTATATACCGCCTCCTCATGCTGCTGCCAGGTCCAGAGTCTCTCATGGGTCCCTGTACGGCCTCCCATTGCTGCTGTCTCCATCGCCACACTCTGCCATGTGCCACTTTCAGGTCTCCTCACACTGCTGGTGTGTTGAATTTTTTGACATAGGGTGCTGGCAGATTACGGGCCTCCTATAGCTGCTGCCAGGCCCCTAATCTGCCATGGGCCCCTATATACCGCCTCCTCATGCTGCTGCCAAGTCCAGAGAGTCTGTCATGGGTCCCTGTACGGCCTCCCATTGCTGCTGTCTCCATCGCCACACTCTGCCATGTGCCACTTTCAGGTCTCCTCACACTGCTGGTGTGTTGAATTTTTTTGACATAGGGTGCTGGCAGATTACGGGCCTCCCATAGCTGCTGCCAGGCCCCTAATCTGCCATGGGCCCCTATATACCGCCTCCTCATGCTGCTGCCAGGTCCAGAGTCTCTCATGGGTCCCTGTACGGCCTCCCATTGCTGCTGTCTCCATCGCCACACTCTGCCATGTGCCACTTTCAGGTCTCCTCACACTGCTGGTGTGTTGAATTTTTTGACATAGGGTGCTGGCAGATTACGGGCCTCCCATAGCTGCTGCCAGGCCCCTAATCTGCCATGGGTCCCCTATACCGACTCCTCATGCTGTGACGTTGCAACAAGTGGAATTCAACCCTACATATGTTAGACCGCCTTTACGAACAGCAAAAGGCCATCACAGATTTCCTGATGTTAAAAGCGGATAAAGGTACTCCCTGTGTAACTTAGATGTCAGCCATTGGCAGCTCATGCGTGACACCTGCGCTTGCTCAGGCCCTTTGAGGAGGCCACGCTATTCGTGAGTCGGCAGGACTATGGGATGAACGACGTCATTCCTCTGTTGCACGTCCTGGAACAAATGCTGTTAACAATGGCTGGTCAGGGTGTGGTAGACGTGGCGCACAGATCTCAACGCCACATGACCCCTGTGGGGGCAGGACAGGAAGAAGAGGAGAGGAGGTAGAGGAGGACATTGTGTGCTCAGGAATTATTGAGTGAAATGGGTGGTTTTTCCACTCAGCGGACAGGAGTGGAGGAGCAGGAGCATCTGGTAGAGGAGGAGGAAGAGGAGACAGAGGACCCAGACGCACCGTGGCAGTATGCTGTGGAGATGGAGGCAGGGAGTCCCTCGCATTCCTCTTGGCACAAATGGCCCATAGCATGCTCGCTTGCTTGCGTAGCGACAGCCGAATAATAACCATCAGACAGAGGGATGACTTTTGGCTGTCCACCTTGTTGGACCCTCGCTACCGTTCAAAAATGGTGGCCTTTTTTTTCACACCTGCTGAGAGGGAGGCCAAAATAACGTACTATAAAAACCACCTATGTAGTCAGCTGGTCTCTGCCTGTCTGCGCCAACGTCCATCCTCAGACACTGTGGGCCCTGTGCGCTCGCGTTCCGCTGCCATGGCAGCAGGGGAGGGGTGGGGTGGTAGGAGCAGTGGCAGCTCCACCAGCAGCGGCTGCCTCAGTCTGCTGCAGTCGATGATGAGTAGCTTTCTTCACCAGCGCAGTGAGGAAACTACTAACCAGCCGCAGCAGCAGCAGCATCAGGTGGACCTGGAGCAGGACCTCAAACAACAGGCTTAGGCCTACTTGGACAGCACCCTGCCAACCGAGGTAGACAATCCCCTTGACTACTGGGCAACGAAACTTGACCTTTGGCCCCAACTAGCTGAATTTGCCCTTGAAAGGCTGTCATGCCGGCCAGTAGCGTGGCATCGGAGCGCGTGTTTAGTGCGGCAGGAGGTATTGCAACTCCGCGGAGGACACGACTGTCCACCCAAAGTGTGGAGAGACTCACGTTTGTGAAAATGAATCAGGCGTGGATTAGTCTGGATTTCAAACCACCAGTTCCTGACACAACTGACTAAATCCGCCATGAATCATGCCCCAAACATGTGCCACTTTCAGGTCTCCTCACACTGCTGGTGTGTTCCATTTTTTTCATAGGGTGCTGGCAGATTACGGGCCTCCATAGCTGCTGCCAGGCCCCTAATCTGCCATGGGCCCCTATACCGCCTCCTCATGCTGCTGCCAAGTCCAGAGTCTCTCATGGGTCCCTGTACGGCCTCCCATTGCTGCTGTCTCCATCGCACACACTCTGCCATGTGCCACTTTCAGGTCTCCTCACACTGCTGGTGTGTTCCATTTTTTGTCATAGGGTGCTGGCAGATTACGGGCCTCCCATAGCTGCTGCCAGGCCCCTAATCTGCCATGGGTCCCCTATACCGCCTCCTCATGCTGCTGCCAGTCCAGAGTCTCTCATGGGTCCCTGTACGGCCTCCCATTGCTGCTGTCTCCATCGCCACACTCTGCCATGTGCCACTTTCAGGTCTCCTCACACTGCTGGTGTGTTCCATTTTTTGTCATAGGGTGCTGGCAGATTACGGGTCCCTCCCATAGCTGCTGCCAGGCCCCTAATCTGCCATGGGCCCCTATATACCGCCTCCTCATGCTGCTGCCAGGTCCAGAGTCTCTCATGGGTCCCTGTACGGCCTCCCATTGCTGCTGTCTCCATCGCCACACTCTGCCATGTGCCACTTTCAGGTCTCCTCACACTGCTGGTGGGTTCCATTTTTTGTCATAGGGTGCTGGCAGATTACGGGCCTCCCATAGCTGCTGCAGGCCCCTAATCTGCCATGGGCCCCCGTACCGACTCCCTCATGCTGCTGCCAGGCCCGTAATCTGTCATGGGCCCCTGTTGTCGCTTGTTGGCATATTCCTCTCGTCAGATGCTCCTTCTCCTGCTACTCCTCTTCACGGATTCCGTCAGCAGTCTTTCTTGGAATCCGTTTTCCAAGAGACAACAGTTTGCGAGCACGCACCCGACGGTGCAGAAGCTGAACGTCCTCCTGTCCAAGTTGCTGCTGCCAGGCTCGTAATCTGTCATGCGCCCCTGTACCGCCTCCTCATGCTGCTGCCAGGTCCAGAGTGTGTCATGGGCCCCCGTACCGACTCCTCATGCTGCTGCCAGGCCCGTAATCTGTCATGGGCCCCTGTACCGCCTCCCCATGCTGCTGCCAGGTCCAGAGTGTGTCATGGGTCCCTGTACGGCCTCCCATTGCTGCTGCCAGGCCCGTAATCTGCCATGGGCCCCCCGTACCGACTCCTCATGCTGCTGCCAGGCCCGTAATCTGTCATGGGCCCCTGTACCGCCCTCCTCATGCTGCTGCCAGGTCCAGAGTGTGTCATGGGTCCCTGTACGGCCTCCCATTGCTGCTGTCTCTATCGCCACACTCTGCCATGTGCCACTTTCAGGTCTCCTCACACTGCTGGTGGTTTCCATTTTTGTCATAGGGTGCTGTATGGCCTCCCATTGCTGCTGCCTCCACCGCCACACTGTGGCTCCACACTCTGGTTTTGGCCCCGTGACTGCCCAAATGAGTGAAGTGTGCGGTGATTCTAAGATCGACGGCACTCATCTGCATGTCATACTGACTGACAGTATTATTTCTCTTCCCCAGCAGACTCCAAGGGCATTTAAATTAAAGGTACAGTGTTCTGCACTAATATAAAGGCTCTCTGAAGCCTAGAAACACCCTTTATAAGTTAAATTCACAGCGAATATATTCGACTCGAATCGAAATTTTTCCACGAATTCGCCGAATCAGTCGAATCGAATTTTTGAATACTTCGCTCATCTCTAGTGAGGAGTAGAAAGATAGATTTGTGTGTCATCAGCATAGAGATGGTACTTAAAGCAATGGGAGTTTATCAAGTGACCAAGGGAGGAGGTGTAGATGAAGAAGAGAAGGGGTCCAAGGACAGAATCTTGAGGGACCCATACAGAAAGAGGAAGTGGAGAGGAGGAGACAGTTATAGGTAACGCTTAAGGAGTATTGCGATAGATAGGAGGAGAACCAGGAGAGAGCAGAGTCTTGGAGGCCAAGAGAGCAGGGGCGGACTGACAACTCTTGGGGCCCCCGGGCAATAGGGGATCATGGGGCCCCTGTGTCTTTGCCCAAACTCAAAAAAGCCTATGAAAAAGGTAACCAGGGGAATCTCATGGGGCCCCCTACTGACCCCGGGCCCTCGGGCAGTGCCAGAGTTTCCAAATGGTAAGTCCGCCCCTGTAGAGAGGTCTTTCTCATCATCACAGTTCTAATAATGAGCAATGACCAAGTCAGGAGAACAGCTGATTCATCTTTTTTTTTTTCTCCTGCTTGAAGATCTGCCTGATCAGTCAGGAATTAGGAACTGTGTCATTATTACTAAAACTTGAGCTCAAATAATCTGGTGCAATTCTGCCAAGAAACCAATCAGCTTCCAGGATTTATTGTTGAGGCTTAATTGAACAAGTAAAGCCTAGTACACACGATCAGAAAATCAAATAAAAAATACCGCTTTCAATTCAAATCGATCATACAATAATCTGATCAGCTTTCATCTAATTATTAATAGTAGGGACAAGCACGAAAAACTTTTATCGTATGATACCAGATCGTTCGATTTTCATTTAATCAGTACAGTTTTCCTCCATAAATACGATACAATATACAATTCCAAATTTTTATTCTGTTGATGAGAATTTTCGTAACTTTAATAACCTCTTTATTTTTGATATAGAGACTAGCATGCAAAAAAAAACAGACGATCATTCGTCTGATATTCTCATTGTGTGTACGGGGCTTTAGAAGCTAATCGGACACTGTCACAGCTGCACCAGATTCTGTGAGCTCCTGTTTTAGGAAGTGGCCCCTTAAGTCTTTGAAGATTGGACAAATCTTAACCTGCATACTTAGGGGAGTAAAAAAAACACAATTCACAGATTCACCCAGTGATCAAACTGATTTTATTGCACACAGGCAATATAAATGTTACAAGCATTCTACCAGATATCCCATACCGGAGTGTGGTCTGTTTCTGCGGTATTCTATTTCTTTATCAGCTACTTTGTTATATTAAACATGCATATTATTTCTGTATCATCACACAGCCAGTCTATTATTTCTGAATAATTGCATATCCAGCGTAATCAAGGAAATTAGAAAACATGGAAGCAGTGTCGCATAAAGACTTTGTTTTATTTTCGGACCTCTTCTCAAGATTTTCTTCTGATTTGAGGACAAAAAAAAAAAGAATGTTTGGGCAGTGTAAATGTTATAACAAAAACTATAATGGTTTTACGAAATGTACACATTTGTAAGCTTCTATGTTATCGATGTATTATATGTGTTTGTTTTTTTTATATTTAATGTTTATTTTACAAATATACATATAATACAATGTGCACCCATAACATTGGTTTTCTAAAGAGAGAGCACAGCAGCAACTTCTCCATTTAAACCTGTCTGTTTAATGCAGGCCATATATGGGTTAAATTCCAAAAAAATTTTCTTTCGAAAATCGTAACTAAAGAATTTTCTTTTGAATTTCGCACCATTAGTGGGCTGCAGCATCGACCAATTTTCGTGCGGCCATTGAATTTGAGAGATCAGGCATGTTGGAAATTTTTTTGAAAAATTTACGAATTTCTACTCAATGATGGGAGAATCATGCGAGAAAAATAATTGAAATAGAGATGAGCATGAGCTGTGACCTGGAGAGAAAAGAAGATTCCCAACCATGGTTTGTTGGTTTGCTTGGTTGATTGAATTTCAAAATCAATGGTGGCACTATCAGATTACAAACTGCACAAAATGTCTGATTTTCTAAAGAATATTAATTCAGTATTTGACCCATGTGATGGGTGAGCTCTACAGAGCCATGCAGTGCAAAGGTGAAGAAGCATGAGTGTATTTTTCTCTTTCAATGAATCATGTAAGTATGTACTATGAGAATAGCACAGATGAGCACCAACATACCTTAAATTACAAAAAGAAAAAAATTGACTACATATGTCTTTGACTATGTATTGGACTTTGAGAGTGCCCAAATATATATATACAATATTCACCACTGTTAAAATTTCAGAAATTTATTCAAGTTCTACTGAAATATTAAAAATACATCACATTCTAGTCAAACACAGCTCATTGGTGAATTCACAATATACTCCACGATAGAAGAATATTTCATTGATCTTCCCACACTACTATAAATAGCTTGTATCCTTTGTTATATTCAAGACAGATTGTTTCAAAATTTTGGATGACAGTAGCAAGGGGTGATTTCATTGGTCATTACATGATGTGTTTTGTTGGACCCAGACAACCCACTTCCCCAGGCTCAGTGAAATTAATAAAAAAAAATAATATGTATATATTAAAAAATGAATTAATTATATAATAATATAATAACAATTTATCACATGGGGTTTCTGGGGTCAAAGTGGTAAAGGAGATGTAGATTAATGAAGAGTGTAGAGAGGGTTGGAATAGGGAAAAGGATGAAGGAACCCTGGTAGGAATTTCCTTCCACATTGGCTGTTCAGTGCATTCAGTTGTTATTGTTACGTATTGATGTTTTTATTAGGTTTGTAATATTAAGAGTTGGCAAGGGGTATTGTGATTTTTAGTTTACTAGGAAGGTGCTTATGCAGGTCTTTTGCTTTCATAAAGTTTACTTTTTTCTTCTATTATGCATTTCAGCATGAGTCATTTTTTACACTTCTTCAGCTGTGACTATAATTTGCCAATCAGCTGTTCAATGCTAAATTTGCTAATCAGTTATTCAAATTTAAAATATTTAGATAATATTTACAGCACACAATATATTCCCTTTATACATTTAAAATCACCAGCTATTAAAGTGCATAATTTGAATTAATACTGGTCAAATAGATTAAAAAAATGGGTATATTGCCATGTTATGATCATGAAAACTGAGATTACCCCTGTTTTTCAGGTGCTATTTCAAATATCTTGGTTATTTGAAATGTTAAATACACTGTATAATATCACTGTATTCATACATATCACTGTTCCTATAAATTCAGTCATTTGCCCACAAGTCTGAATATGTTTTATCGCAGCAAATGAAAATGTATTAGGCTTACACATACAGAAAAGAGCAAATGACTGGAGAGAAATTATTTTACTCCAAGAGATTCAGGACACTTAAGCATTGGCTAATATCTTCTAGAATCTGTGTCAATATTTTGCAGGGCACGTTTAAAAAAATGTAGTGAGCTCTAATGTGTTTTTATCTGTAACGATTCATCTCCTAGTGGATCATGGCTATCGTTCATCTGTCTGAATGAGAAAATCAATGGTCAGAAGGAAAAGATGCAGACAACTAAAAAAATGGTCCTGTCCAAATGATGCTCATAGTGTTGAGGCTGAGGATTGTGAAATCTGTTATCTTGTCCAACCAATAACAGAAATAAATTGTATTGTCCTTTCTTACCATTATTTCTGTGGCAGGGATGACATAAACATGACAAATACAAGAAGTTCAAAGAACATAAATGTATATATATATATATATATTATATATATATATACACACACAGTATATATTTATTCCATGCACCATTTTTACATAATGTCCATTAGACAAACATTTTTAAGAATATATACAGTCACCGCCATAGTACAGTATATATTGTATAGGCATTGAGCCTAATGTATCTGCATATTCCAATGCACCAATAGTGAGAAGACAAACAGTTTGTATTCTTACTATATTTACAATGCATCTGTGATGTGCATGGATACGTGTTCACAGGATACAGTATACAAATGACCACTTTAACAGTAACCAGAAACCAGCGCTCAAATCTCTCTTGCTGCACTCAAAATGTAATAGTGCACTGGCTGAGGTGCCACCCTTGATAGATTGGGGATCTTGATAATAGCAGAAAAAAACAAAACAGGGCACACTCTCCTCGTGCATTAACGCAAAAACCATACATTTATTAAAAAGATGCAAAAACATACAAGCATAAAGGTCATAAAAATAGAGACAAGAAGTTAAAGGTGTTCAATCGTGGACCGGCATTTGTCCTCGGATAAAGTGCTAAACGTGTTTCGGGAGTCGAACTCCCTTCTCACGGTAGCAATAGATGAAGCATCATCTTCTTTCTCTGAGAGGAAGAGAGTTCGACTCCCGAACCTCCGATCGCACTTAATCGGGGACAGCCAGGGCCCTGATTCCTAGATGTGAGTGTAATAGCCGCGAACTGACCATTCAGGCAGACTCCGGTTCAATCAATCAGTCGTTGACCAGATCTAG